CCCCCCCCCCCCCCCCCCCCCCCCCACTTTAAGAAGTCTTTGTTTTGCCCCTGGAAAGATGAGGTTATTTTTGAAGAATGGATAGATGAGCTTCCATGACCTGACTGCATATTGGGTTATTATCTTCTCAGTAGCTTGTTTTCGTTATTTTGGGGGCTGGAGGTGGTACCATATAGAAATAGGAGTCCAGGGTGGATTTCAGTGATTAGGAAAATTTTAAATGTCAGCCTTAGCTACCAGATGTATTTTCAGGTATTGGAAGGTCTCCCAAAACGGCCATTATTCTTGTTCAGAACTTTATTTTGCACTATAGCAATTCAACAGGTATGGTAAACATAGCTAGGATGTAAAGAGGAGACTCAGGAGGACATAAAGGCAGAGAATTAAGCACAGAGAAATGTCAGAAGAAAAAAGGGAGCTTGAGGATGGAAAATTTACAAGAGAATCTGGGAGACAGACAACAAGCTCGAGCATATGCTCCATCTGTTTCGCAGTGCTATGCTGAGGCAAGCCAAACATAAATCCAGCTGTTCTATAGGCATGTGAACATCCAAAGCCTACTAGTAAATGTGGTGTTAAAATTAAAAAAAAAAAACAAAACTGATGCAACTTTGGTAACACATGTTCAGATTGTTAGAAATGTCAGGTGATGCCAGAGATACTTTGGGGCTCTTTTGGTTTAGTGCTTGTGCAAAAGATTGTTAATGATAACTCTCCTAGCAAGTGATGCAAATCCCAACAGATAATGCAAATTCACAGATGAAGCATAGTTTCATCTAGCATAGCTAGAAGTAGAGTCAACATTATTGGTGCACCAATATCCTCTTTTGAACTATGCAGCTAGAAAACTTATAAAATAAAAGGCAAAAAAGTTTCTGGTGCCCTGGAAGAAAAACAAATATGTTATGCTATTGGATAAGCTAACTGTCTTTCCCAGTCAATCCAGCTGGATCTTGTAATACCACTATGAAATTACAAGTTGTATATTCTTCTTAAGATTACTTTAAAATATTCTTACAAGTACCTTAGTCACAGTCCTTATGATATTCAGGGCAGAGTTAATGTGCCCTTGGTGGCCTCAGGGTGACTCAGACACGTGTAGGCTTCCGTTAGGAATGTATTCGTCCCCTGCTTTCTGCAGAAAAATGACCCAGCAATAGGTGTCTGTCACTACCCAGTCACAACCCACCAGAGGCTAATCTGACCTTTGCAACTTCTTTCATTCCAAATTCCTCTTTACGTGCTACACCCCTCAAGGCATCGCTGAAAACATGGAGTCCTGGATGTGCAAACATGTGTTTACAACTTGGTTTTGCTCTCTGTTCTCCTTGACAGGCACTCAATCCCAACATTCACGTGACTGTTAACTGCAGGCATGTTTCTTTTAGAGTCACCCTTTTTGGAGGTCTCGTGTCTTAGATTAGATAGTTAATGCGGGTGTGAATGCAGTGCGTTTGCCGCTGACATTGGTGGGGCTATTAGCATGCAAGGGGCACAGCACCAGAGACTGTCACGTTCAAAAGGCCCTGCTGCAAGTGTTGTAAGGACCTCGAAGAGATTGGTATTTCTTGCTAATGAAGTGTGGAATATAAAGCCATGTACTAGAGCAAATGCTAGAAGCAGTTTTCTTCCTTTAAGTAGGTTTTTTTCTTGTTTGACATGCAGAATCTAAGACAGGTCATCAGTCTTTCCTTTACCATCCCTGCCTTGATTTTTCCTTAGTACACAGAAACTGCTTCTTCTCTTCTATGTGACTTGTTACAGCTGATTAGACTTGGGTAGTATATCGTCTTCTCCTTCATGCATTACCTTTGTAACACCTGCTAGTAATGTGGAAGCAACTTTTGCACAAAACTATCAGTTTTGAGACTTGCCGCTCAGGCACCGAACAAGTTATTGCATGATACCAAAGCATCTGTTGTTGATTTGAAGACTGATTTTAATTAGTTATGGTATAAATGGAAAGCTGTGTGCAGTAAAGCTTGGGAAGTAAAGAATGTGCTATTTGTTTGTAGTTCTCCAGTGCAATACTCTGAAATGCAGCCCATAATTCAGGAGGAAAGAAAATTTTTCCTTTGAGAGGACACCATAGGATTAGCTTTCGTATTTCTGTCCTTGCAGCTCTCTGGAGCACATCTGGAGATCATTCCAAGAGAAGGAGGAGAGTGAGACAGGGTTCAGATTTAGGATGATGAGAGACCTGGGGCCTTGCAAAAAAATTCAGTAAGAGCAAATATTAAGTTGTGTAAATACCATATTCCAGCATCTTTCTAAATGATACAAAGAAGCAGCATCAAACTCATTTGGTCCAAAGGGAGAAGGGATGTTTTTGCCTTACTGTTCAGTTGCTATTAGTTCATCTACGGTCTGACTGGATGAGCTAATGAACAGAAAGAAATTATATTTAACTAAAACTTTCTATGCTTGCACTTCAGCTAAAAACAGAGTAATTTAGGTGTGAGGTCGTCTCCCTGCAACTGCAAGACACCGTAATATATATTTCTTGTCAGCCAAAAACACCTACTCTGCATGTAAATATAAACAACACATAATTTTCACTTCATTTCACACTGGCATGTAATGCTTAAAAACAGTTTTTAAAACTGCATGCCAACTAAATTTGATTTAAGCCAGAGTACAGTACCAAAAAAAAAAATCTTATCCTTGAAAATTTTAAACGAGTTTATTTTAGTCTTAGGACGCCTCCCTTTTCTTTCTTATCAGCCAAATTAGAACCAAATATAGATCTTGGACCACGGTCTCAAAAGTATTGCTTCTGCAAACTAGAGTTTAGCTTCTCAGGTGCTTCAGAGTAAGCCAGCTCGAAAGGTAAGCCATTGGGATAGTGTTCATCCTTTGGCAGTGGTACTACTTGAGGTGGGGTGGGTCTTGCACCCTTTTCAACTCACCGCCCTTTCCCTTCCCTGTCTTTTCCCCTTGTTGCTGTCTCTTGTGTTATGCTGGCACCAGCACTTTGACAAACGTACGATGAACCAGACCAGGGAGCAGATCCAGCGGGGATTCCCAGCCAGATCAGCACCACGATATATCTGGCATGAGTGATCAGCACAGGGCATGAGTGAACTGCTAGGGCAGAGGCAGGTTGTTTTACCTAGAACTGCCACCAAAGCGTTGTTTGAGGAACCGTAGAAGAGGTGTCCGCATTTTTTTTCATCCTTTCTCCTCTTTCCCCTTCCTTTTTTCTACAAGTGGCACAAATACCTCCTCAGGTCAGGGCTGCCTTGCTGGGATTGCTGCACGAAAGTGGACAGCTTTCTCCCCGTCTCATGAAAATAAAGAAATACGGACTGCATGAATCGCAGACTGGCATGAAGGGGAATAAAATACAGATGTTAAGCAGCTCTTCTGCTCCTCTGTTACCCATTACTGCTTAACTTTGCCCCTTCCTCTGTCCCATGCCTTTCCTATGTTTTTTTTCTGCCCTTTTTATGCATCTCTGCCTAAACCTCCCTCCCCCGATCCCATTAGAACCCTACTTCACAACTCTCTCCTCCATGTCTCTGCCCTGTTTCTTTCCATCCATGTTGTCAACTGTTTTTTTTCCCCTGCCGTGGGACAAAAGACTTCTTTCTCAGCCAGAGTGCAGCTCATCACTCCTTCCTAGGTGCTAGGCACTCAGCTGCAGATCTTGCCAGTGGAAAGTCTTCCTCACAGGGAAAGCTTTTGAATTTGCAATAGCAGAGGAGGAGATTGGATTAAACATAGTCAACCTGTCCTCCAGAATAGGATGTTTTGGGAAGTTCATGAGTTTAGAAAAGACTTCCCACAACAAACCCACAGATCCAATTTCCTACCCAGTTTGGGACTAGCAGACTGAGTAGGACAGGGACTCTCTTGGGAGCAAGATAAAAACAAATGGTCACGTCATATGTAAAACAGCACTATGCAGCTGCTACTAAAAAAATTATCTTGGCATCAGGAGCAGTTTCCACATGTACTGACATTGAAACTTATGAGGCAACAACTGCCAAATGAATTTGGGCTGGCTAGCACCTCAGAAAGAGTGGGACGTTTCTAGGGTCAGAGGTGGATCAGCTATATGTATAATTTATTTAATTCCTTTACTCAAACCTCAGGGTTCCTGGTGAAATTTAATTTCCTATTACTGAACGACTCTTCTGTTGTTTCCACAAGTTTCATCAGGCAGGATTTCTTTAAGCATCTCGTAAGTACATCTGATAGCAAGTACGTTTGCTGAAGGTTACCTTAGAGTAGTTTAAGGTGAGTTTGGCTGCTGACCTCCACTGCATGCTCCTGAGGGAGAATGTATATTATAGTATAACTTTTTTAAGGCATCCAGCAGAGCTAGCGTAATTTAAAAACCGTACAGAGTGCACATTCCAGAAAGAGATTGTTTTATGCCCATGAGTGACTACGTGCTCGTTTACAGAGGGAACCACTGACTGGAAAAGCACATATTTTCTATTTTTAGCTCATACTGTAACTTTTGAGGTACTACGTATATGGCAAAGCCATGCATATTAAGGCTTATTTCTTAAACACTGCTTTGGTTTTTTGTTTTCTTTTTCTGAAATGCAGGCTATGATCATTGCTTTTACATCTGACATGATTCCTCGTCTGGTTTATTACTGGTCCTTTTCGGTCCCTCCTTATGGGAGTCACAGCAGTCACACTATGAAAGGGTATATAAACAGTACGCTTTCTGTCTTCAATATATCAGACTTCAAGAATGCAAGCAAGCCATTTTCCCCTTCTTGGTTTGGGAACCAAACAACATGCAGGCAAGTGTCAAATAACCATTCTTTTCCAATGACAGAAATAAATACTTTTTTTTAATATCTAAATCATCTAATTCAGTTAACAGTATCCAGTAAGAAATGTTAAAACACAGTAAAAGCCAGCATATTTTGAATGGCAGAACTGAGTGGAGGTATTCACCCATAAGTTTGTGCTACTCAGAAAATTCTTACTTTATTTTGGTTTTCTCATTATTGATAGTCTTCAAAAAAAAACACTTTTAAAGTTTTGTAAGTAATTCTTAATACAGTGGCAAAAAAAAAGGACATTTCAGCCAAATATAGCTTATTCTGCAGATACGATTTTACCCATTACTTTAGTTATGTGCAGCTAACTGTTCCTGGATGCATTAAGCAGGGACATGTCTTGCTCCATCCTCTGGCCACAGTGCCGTACTGCAGAGATGCCTGAGACTAGTTCCTGACTTTCCTACCTTGCTTTCAGATACCGGGATTTCCGCTACCCTCCTGGCCATCAGCACCAATATGAGCATAACATATACTACTGGCATGTCATTGCAGCCAAGCTGGCTTTCATCATTGTCATGGAGGTAAGTGTACGGAGTTTTGAGCGTTACTTATTTAAACTTATTTAAACTTCTCTTCCCTCCATGCAGAAAATCCTTCAAAGACATTCTGTCCAGGCATGGCTATCAGAGCTGGTGAGGTGTGCTAGCATGGGCAAGAGCTTGGGAGATGTAAATTAAGTAAGTGTAGCACCATTAGAAAAAGAAGCCTCTGAAGTCATGACATCAGCTGAGGATTGCCCCCGTTTGCAGTTTCTTTTCTCAAGAACTGTAAAATTATTTTTAGTATCAGAAATAGAAGGGACAGTTACACTAAAAATATTTTTACATATACTTAGAGGAAGTTTGCACACAGTCTCATGAATACATATACATAATACACGTGCGCTAGCAGAGTGAAGTCTATAAAGACAGTCACTGCAAGAGGTGAGTCGCTAGATGAGCATCAAAAAGTAATTGCTCCTTCCTCTGCAGCTACAATCTGGGCTTATGAAAGATGGGAGTCAGTCCAACATGAAGGGAGAGGAATATTAGGTATTATTTCCTTATAAAATCTACTTAGGTCTGGATCCAGGGACTACTGAAGTCATCAGAAACATGCGACTGGTTAGATCAGAGTTCCCGTAGCAGAGAGAACTCCGTTGCCCCAGAGTCATTTGAACAAACCTAAAACAATTTTAAAAGAAACTGTAACCACTCTTTCCATGCAGGGGGGGGAAGCACTGGGTACCAGGGTTCCCCCACAGCAGGCAGAGAAGTCTTTGTTAAAATCAGAATTAGAAAATCAGAAATTCTTGTTTATCAGACAATTATTCTATTCATTAGTCATGTCTGCTTTTTAAAATACTGTTCTACTGTGATAGATACTGGTACAGAACCCGCTCAGAGTCTTAAGAGGTAATGTGACATTTCATTTATAATAATAATAATGTCCTGTTCAGCCTGACTGACATTTTTTCATTTTCACCTTCCCCAGCATGTCATATACTTTGTGAAGTTTATTATTTCATATGTAATTCCGGATGTATCAGAAAAGACCAAGAGCAAGGTCAAACGAGAGAAGTACGTAACACAGAAACTCTTGCATGAGAACGATCTCAAAGTTGTGAAAAAAACCATGGGGAAAATAGCTGACAAAATTTTCAAAGGAGTAGATAGCACCTTCCGACCGAAAGCTGAATAAGTACTTTTTTATATGGAATAACAGTATTTAGACAACTAATACTTGTCCAGATATTACCAATAGCTAATCAAACACTTTGGATTAATTCCTTTTACTAAACATTGTTTCTTGCAACTGTTACCTGCTCATTTACCTGTTTCCCTTGGACATATGCAACCACTGTGACTCAGATAAGAGGTTTTTTTAAACACTTTAGCAGGACATATTTTGTTAACATGTGAAGGTAAAAATTATTTATCATCTTAAGAAAATGCAGATTAATTCTCAAACACATAGAGTGCTTTATTTAGGCATCACCTATTAGATCTCTTGTTTGACTTGAATAAAACCTTAAGAACAAGAATGATTTGTTGTTAGAATACCATCACATTTTCTGAAGGAGTTTTGATTACTTGCTAATGCAAACCCCAACTATAAAATGAAGAGGAAAAGCCAAAACATGAAGGAAAGAGAAGGAAAATGCAACTCAAAATCATGTTGTTAAGCCATTGGAATTGACATACTAAGCGCTGTTGTGTGCTACACTGAATTAGCTATGCATACTGAGACTTAAATGGATAACAAGATATTTCAATTAATCATGGACTTGGATCACAAGAAGCAGCAGGACTGTAAGCCCATCCTGTTCATCAATCTCTGTGTAAACAGGAGAATTGCCTTTGAAATCAATGCATAAAAACTGACTTTACAGCACTCCAAGTGAGTAGAAACCTCAGGCATTTTATCTTTCCCCAGTCAATGTACTTTCATTAGTTCACTTGCCCATCCTGCTCTGAATGACCATAGCCTTGAAGGTCTCCTACCTCTAACAGTAATGAGTGTTCGAAGTCTTCTCGTGTACTAAATCAGTATTTGTGGAGGGCTGTCTTTTGCATTTCTCCCACCCCAGAGGCACCGTGCTCTTCCCTGAGATTTCGACATAGGAAGAATGTGCAGCTGGACCTGTTGTGATACAACATCGCGTGATAAAGTGAATTCTGACAAGACCATGAATCTATTGAAACTGGAGATTGCAATAAGCGATTTAATATGCCTTAACCATATTATGAAGCTTTAAATAACTAGGAAGGATGTTAGAGGTGTGGATATATGTGCTAGAGCCATCAGTCATCTTCAAATTAGGCTGCAGAGCTGCTTGGCTATTTTGGCTCCAGTTGCAAGCTGGGAGTTAGGGAATTACAGATTAAGCTTGTATGTAGAGCTCCGCTTTGTGTCTGCAGCAGTGATATTCCAGATTATTAATTCGCTTTGTCTTTCAACAGTTTTAGTGGACCAATTTCTACAAATTCTGAAAATCAAAATCATGTTAAAAAATCAAAAGTATGCCTGTACTCTCTAAACCAGGAGATTACTGTTGTGTTTGTAATTTTGTACTCTTCTTAAATCTAATAGATATGCAGAATTTTTAGGCAGATTATTCATATAGCTTTTTACATATTAAGAAGTTCATTTGCAGAAACTATGTAGCATTTATAAGATGTATTTTATCCCATTAATAACCATAAGGAATCAAACATCTGAGTTCTGTAGCAAAACTTCCAAATACTGACTGCTGTGCACCTCAAGCCTATTCTTTGAAACTGCAACATTTAAACCAGAATAGGTAGCACATGAGGGGAGTCCTTGCAGCAGTCATGATACACAAGCTTTCACTCAGCAAGACTTTGCGTGATTGCATGGAAGAACGTGAGAAGAAAGCTTGGTTCAAAAATCAAGGAAAGATGAAAGAGAGAAACTCACAGGTTCCACAGAACCACTTGCATTTCTGACACTGAAGGTTACTTATTATAATGCTCAGAAAACTTTGTGTAGACACCACCAGAAGACAAAAAAAAGATGCAGGACAGAAAAACAAGATAGACCGTAACAATAAATGACAGTCAACCAGAGCAGCGATAGAACCAGCGCTTCTTTGCACAGGGAGTTCTACCCTTTGCCATTTGTTTTGGTTTTTCAGAATCATGACAAGTCTTTAATGTAACAGGAAGCAAATATAAATTGAGCAGATGGACAAACACTCAGAAGTGTCTAAACAGGGCAGAATTTATCAAAATATATCCCCTCAATACTGGTTTGACCTTTTTCCCAGATCACAGAGCAGTTGAGGTTGGAAGACACCTCTGGAGGTCACCTGGCCCACCCCCCCTGCTCAAGCAGGACCACCCTGGGCTGGTTGCCCAAGGACCATCTCCAAGGATGGAGACTCCACAGCCTCCCTGGGCAACCTGGGCCGGTGCTCGGTCACCCTCACAGTGAAAAAGTGTTTCCTGATGTTCAGAGGAAACCTGTGTTTCAGTTTGTGCCCACTGCCTCTTCTTCTGTCACTGCATAGTATACCAAACTTCTGGTTAAAACAAATTTTTGTCCAAAAAGCTGCTTCATGGAACAATTTTAGTGAAGTACTCAGGACTTCCCTGTGCAACATGAGTTTGGTTAGAAAGGCCAGTTAGCTCCTTTCAGACTTGGAGCTTTTGATTTTAGCTCTGAGCTGACCCATCCCCATCTGCAGTTCTGTTCAGCGGAGAGATGCCATTTTCATACCCCCATCAGTGATCACAGCACCAGTGTGTGCCTTAAATACCTTTTCAGGTGGGGTGTTGGAGGGCTGGGGAGGGCTAGGAGGCATCCTGTGATAAAGGGAAAAAAAATGCAGCACAAAATGGACCATTTCAGGTCATTATTTGGTCTTAAGGAAGCATTTATTGCCCTCTTTGAGAGGTAAAGAGACTAGGGAACAAAGGAGTTGAGTGCCTTGCCCGGGGTCACACTGTGAGCAGTGGCAGAGCTTAAGGCTGATCTTTCAGGAGTGCCTGGTCTTCTGCTCCTTGTTTGGTTCCTGTGGCCTCTCAGTTGCCCCTTTTTACATCAGTTGGCAGCATTTATATTTTGTAGTTTAGATTCCTGCCTTTAAAATAATGATTTTTAAAAAATTCTACATCAGCAAAGCACGTATACCTATGACTTGGGCTCCTCCCATAATAAAATCCTAACCAGCTTCGGGTGTGTTTCTACATTACCATTTTTGTTCAGATCAAGAATGTGCTTTTGAAACTTGTCTTCCCCTTGTCCCCACTTTCTGGGCGGTGCTTCCCATCACAGACTGGTCTCGGGGCACAAGGACTGGATCCCTCTTGGTTTAAACTGAACCCGAAGGCACGTTTTAGATATGCACTTAATGGTTTCTGACAGGCACTTAGTCCAGAGAGCTAAAACCACAGCTAGGCTGAAGTGAGCAGTGAGTACTGTGTGGGCATCACCTAGTCAACATCAACTTTTTGCTCTCGTGATTTGCTTCTGAAGTGCCACACTCCTTGCTAATGTAGCTGTAACATTTCATTTCAGAAGACACTATATCAGGAATTCAGTTCAGTTTGCCATATGCACAGTGTTATTCACAGCACAGTTCTGAATGAGAGAGAAAGAAGAGGAAAACCAACAGAGTGCCTAATAATTGCATTTTAATAGTTTGATTTAAGCTGTGCAATTTCTGTAGCCTCTACCTCCAACTGCTGAAATGTGCTCTGCTTGTACACAGGGAGCTCTGCAGAGGCATCAGAACAAAATTGGGGGAGGGCAGCAGTTGCCAACATATGAGTATTTGTAACTCTTTTTTTTTTTTTTTTTTTTTTTAGGCTAGGTCACTTTAATAATATTTAAGGATTTGCTTGAAGGGAAAACTAACATTTGTTTTAAACTATGAATCAATTCTACTTTTTTTTTTACACTTGATACGTAGGCCAGACTCTTACTTTGTACAGATCTGTTGAAGTCAGGGTGAATTTGGACCAGTGACCATTTCATTGCCTTAACAAGCACCATAAATTGCAGACCGTCACCACTGTTTTAGACTCTGTGTATGTTGATAAAATTCAGAATGTTAAGAATGTGTTTTTTGTATTTTTTCTAAGAATGTTTGCTATTAGTTTCTGAATGTTAAGATGTCTTTATATTTATTGTCATTAAATAAAGTCTATTTTAAAATAACAATGAATCTGATGTTGATTGGCATTGTTTGTTTTTCCATGAACGACACTGCTGCTGCCAAATGCCCCATTTAAATTCTTACAGTGTCATCCCTGTCTAATTTCCATATTGCTCCTCTTTTTCAATCTTTTTCCATTAAACTGTTACTAGTACTGAAATTTATCTCCTGTTTTTTCTGCATCCTCTAGATGGAAGTCATTCCTTTCAACACCAAGTCGATGACAAGGACCATTATGTTCTCATACAAATAAACAGTTTAGGTCTTTATACCCTTTCACTCCTGTCATGATAAACCCTGTGTTATGTTTCAGAGTCATCATTTATTTCTTCATCTGGATCGAGCCTGTGATGCTCCCACCTCCAGGCAGTCCACCCGCTCTGTCTCTCCCTGCCAGCCAGCCATCAGTTCTCTTCTGCTTCTGCTCCGACTCTTCCGCTCTGCTTCGAGGAAACCCTTTTCTCAGACTTAAGAGAACAGGAAGGTTAGAGAGTAATTTTAAACAGAGACCTTCTTTGCACTGAGGTGTGTTTGTTGTTTGTTTCCCTTTGGGATTCCCAAGATCTGCTTTCAGTAGCTTTATGATAGTTGTGGAAGCAGAGGTACTACCACTTCCAACTTGTTTTCTGCTGACCAAGGGCTATGTGTCATACAGATGCCAGTACCCAAGCTCCTTCTGCCACTCTTGCATCGATTTGGCTTTGTTGGAGCGAGAACAAAAGAAACTTCGTGATGAGGAATAATAAGGGTTATTGTCCTACAAGCAGAAGGATATAGTATCATCATAGGCCAAATCTATAAGAGGATGAGGATGGGGTGTTTTTAAATCGACTGATACATTTAAAACCCTTCAAAGAACAAGCTTTAGTATTTTTCTACTTAGGACACAAATAGCCAAAGTAGCATCTTACTTCTGGTGGTGCCTGCTTAGTTTTAATTCTTTCTGTCACAGCGTGGGTGAGTTGAGCTTATTTTGGATAGCCAGTATGTGCCAGATGAAAGCAACCTGGTACACCCC